AAATAGTTTTTTACTGGTTTGAAGCAGTAATTTTACATTGAAGTTATTTGCTGAAAAATGCCCTTTYTCTTGTTTAGAATGAGAATAAACATTATTCAAACCACATGAAAATAAATTTAGTGAAGTTATTCAAATTACAAAACTCCTTGCCTATAAAATTAATTTTATTTTGTTGAAACATGCTTTAATTTGAAAAAAAAAGTGTGTTCTAAATTACTGTTTTACCATCTTAAATTAGTTACTCAAGCTTGAAATCAATAACTTTTATATTTTTATCTTATTTTCTCAACAAACATGTTGTGAGTGACTTGTCTGTGAGGCCCTGTTCTCATCTCCTTATATATATAGGAAAAGAATCAGACAAAGATCCCTGCTCTTGAGAAGCTTCTATTTCAAGCCATAGGAGATAGAACTTATGTAAATAATAGAGCAACAATACTTGGAAATGTGTGTGTGTGGTGATAGGAAGTGGAATATAGTTTTTAGTCGTATAATTAATGTAGGAATCATTAAAAAAATGACATTCAATAACACATTTGAAAAAGGTAAGAGATTTAGTTCTACCAGTTTCAGGGACAGGTATTCCAGACAGGGGTCAAAAACCCTGAGGCACAAAGGATGGGTGAGCTCCAAGAGTAATAGGAAGCCAGATGATATATGACATTTCATTGTGAATAAATTGGGGAACCATTACAGAATCTTGAGCAGAAGTGTCAGGATCTAACTTACATTTCAGAAAAGTCAGTCTGGGCACTGTGTTGAGAATGAAGTTTCAACACAATTGGGTAAATGCTAGMCAACTGGTAAAAAGTTTATCGTGAGAATTCAAGTAAAAGATTTTACTGGTTAGGCCAGGATGGTAATAATAGAGAAGATGAGATTCTGCACATATTTGGAAAATATAGTCAATTTGGTAAATTAGATGCAGAATGTAAGAGAGAAATAGGAGTCAAGTTTAAAGTTTAGGACTAAACAGTTCAAGAAATACATTGCAATCAAACAAGATAGAGATGGCTGTTGGAGGATCAGTGTTGGAGGAATAATATGAAGAGTTGCATTTGCAAATGTTGATTTTGAGAGATTTATTAGATCCAGGTGAAAATATTGAGGAAGCAGTTGGATATATGAACCTGGAGTTTAAGGAGACAAATAAGTTTCCAGACAGGAAATTTGCATATGTTTTGGATTCTTTGTGCTTAGTGTTGAAGAATGACTTGAAGTACTGAATTAAAGTTAGAAGGAAGAGTGACAAAGTTACATATTCTCTGAAGTCTCTTGTTGTTTTCTCCTGTTTCTATGTCATTTTAATTAGTGACCAGCAAATCAGAAAATTCTRTATTTGAAAAAATGATTCATTTTCTCAATATTATGTTATTTTAACTGTCTCTCAGTTTTCATAGGACACATGTAGGCTAGTACTGTAATACTTGGGAAATGGGCACAAATGTATTTATTTGCCAGCCCTGCTTGACTCTGTTGATGATAGGAAAATTAAAAAAAAAAAAAAAAGCATAAGATTGAAAATAGAAATGTAAACAGCCAAAGTCTACTCTTTGGCAGCTTAGTTCACAGTAAGTAGTTTCCCGACATTAGTTGTGGAATATTAAACAATTTAAAGTTCAAATGGTGTTTTTTTGCTTTTTTTGTGGAAGCAGAGTAGGGGGTAGTGATTACAGTCACCAAAATGGAAAGTCAAATGAGAGAAAGTAATTATGGAAATTGTGTTTCTTGAAGGCTTTTAGAATTTTTAATTCATATACTCTAAGTATCTGGAAGCACATTTAGTTCCTGTTTGGAGAGATGAAAGCCTTGCCATAGCCTCATCTGTAGGCTTGTGGCAATGTGAGTTTCTCCCGGGTGTATGTGCACGGAAGAGTAGAAAGGGCTGAGTGGGCAGTTGGCAGCCATACATCGCATTGATTGCAGTCATTCATAAAACCCAGCAGGGCTGAGGGCGGAGTCAGGAGGAGCATTCCCCTGAGGTGGTTGCAGAATGTCTTATTTGCATAAATCTTCAGTGAGGCTTGAAAGATGAGGAGATGCTCACATATTAGGAGACATTAAGAGTCCATGTCTGATAAATCCTGGTATAATTAATGACATCTCAAAGAATAAGGGGTCAGACACTTTGAACTCTTAGTCCCTCCATCCTTGGTAATTCCAGGAAGTCAGCAGTATTGCTGCATTTGTGGTCTCCTAATGTCTGGCTGAAGGAATGAATCATGTGTAGCAACAAACTCTTAATAGCTGCAACATTCTGACATATCATTGTCTTGTTTCTTGAAGTATGAGAGGGTCTATATTTAATATACTTTGTCTAATACATGGGAGATAATGGAAATTGCTGGAGCTAAACAACTTCCATATATTAGAACTGTCAAAACTATGAAGATTGTAGGCCTCCAAACTGACACAATTCAATTATAATTTTAAAGAAATGTAAGTCCACCCAGGCTAACAAAAATCTCATATTTTATAGTTTTGTTGTGTCTTGTTTGGGGCATAGTATAGTTTTTTCTTTCTTGTACCAAGGAGAAATTTCAGCTCAAAGGAATTCAGGTTTGAAAATATAAGAATATATATTATCATAGTTTAACCACTTCCCCACAATTTTGTTGAAAAATTAGAAATTTGAAACAAAGAGTTACCCTCCTCAAGACTCAAATTAATAGCTATTACATCACCCTAGGGTATGTGTTCTATGATCAGCAAATATGCTAATATAGAAAATGTGATCATCTCCTATTTTTTAAAAAGTACATTTAATTAACTCCAAATATGTTGTTTTTGAGGAGTAATATGTATTTTTATTATTCAATAAAACCTTAAAGTTCAGCAATTCAAATCAAGTTTTTGTCAGAAAGATTCTATAGTGTGTATGACAGAAATATGTTGGCWATTGTCATTTTAAATTCCAAATCACTGGGTACTTAGATTAGATTTTTTTGTAATGGCCTTTTAGTTAGCAGGGAGGAAAAGTTTGGCTTTAAAACCTACCCCTACTGTTGGGTAAATCTTTGCCTTATTTAGAAAGTAGTTACTTCCAAGCATATTTAAGAAAAATTCTTAGTGGTAGATTTTCTTTTTCTTAGATCTTTGTGTAAATATCTGGAACATGAAGGGAGGAAAAAAAGGAACCAAAAAATTTTTTATTATATAATTCAAAATTTTTTCTGAGTTGGTGATACTTAAGATTTTTACAAATCAGTTCCTGTAGGTTAACCAGCCTGATAGTCTATTTTTAGTTGAATAAGAATTRTTAAAAGATTTTCCAGTACTTCAAATTTAACTTACTGGACATTGTACCTTGTGTAAGTTAGATTAAAATTTCAGGGCTTTCTTTTCCCTAACAACTGCCTCCCTAAATGTTCTTTTCATGCTGATGTGTGATTGGCCTTTTCCCATGAAACTGGAATAGTCACATAAGGCTTTGTGGTTCTCAGGGATTTCACTCCTCTCTCTTGACCAATCCATTGAGAGTTTAGCATTTGCTCTTGAGAAATCCCACAATTCTTTACTGTTATCTCAGGAGGAAGGTGTGCAGAGGTTTGAAATGGCACCATTTTCTTTCCTTGTCATGTTATATATTGATTTCTAAGTCTCACTKGACCTTGTTTGGAATGAGCAATGTGTGTGTGCACGTTTCTGTGCGTTGTGTCCACGTTTCCCTGTATCATTTCTTTCAGAAGTGGAGAACTTTGCCACGCAGCTTTTAGTACTGGGAAACAGTTTATCCACTCCTGCCTCACCAGTGATACACTTCTGGAATAACATGACTGKTCCTAAATATGAGCACTGCAGTCAAATCGTCCCCGTGAAAGTTAAATCAGACTCATGCTTGGGGGTTCTGAATCCTAAGGGACATTTCCATTTAGCAAAATCTAAGATGTAGGGTTTCAGTTTTATTACCAAGACTTCCCTCCTCAAGGCTGTGTTTGTTTTAAATCATACGAGGAGAAACAATATTTGGCTGGGATGTAGCTCACTGGTAGAATGATTGCCTAGCATGCCAGAGGCCCTAGGTTCAAACCCCAGCACTGGGAGGGGAAAAACAAAAGGATTAGGAGAAGGATATCTGAGTCATCCAAGTACAGTATAGCCTCAGATTGAAATGTTTTCTGATTTTGGCCAATTAATCTCTTCCATGCTCCATAAATTCACATATGTGAGTAAAAAGACTTGGGATGTAGTTCATTGGTAAGCACTTGTCTGATATTCATGAGGCCCTGGGTTCAATCCCTAGCATTGCAAYGAAACAAAACATGAGAATAAAAATATCAACTCCTTCTCCACTTTGGGACTCTGTTATATTGTTTACCCTCTGCATTAACTTATTTTATCATGAAGAACTTAATGCACAAAGACATTTTATTGTCATAATGTGGAGATACTCTCTCTTACTACACACAAATGCAGGTGCACTATTTGTATGAACATGGCTTGCCATCTCCTACTTGTAATTAGTGTGAAGGGAATTTTGACTGTGGAGAATATCTTAAAGCCTTTCAGGTCTCTTTTTGTATAAACAGAAAGACCTATGTGGAGACTAATGGAATGAAACAAGAGTCCATATTTTTTTTTTTTTTTTTTTTTTTTAGTAAAACTGCCAAAGCCATTGAAAATCCTGCTCGATTTTTAACATATCAACACAACAGCTGTTCCTATTTTTAAGCTTTCAGATGTCTTCATATGGTGAAGCCAAAGCTTTCAATAGCTTTTCTGCTATGGGGAAAGCTGCTGACAATCATTTTATTGATGCTAAAATGAAAACCAAGTACAGAGGCCAGCACAGATTTTATTTGAGTATAACTGAACTCTTAGAAGCATGAGTCAAAGATTTTTTTAATTCTAGAGGCCTTTCCAGTACCCCATGGTTAATATTGAAGGGGCTTGCAAAGACTTTTCTATAGATTGTGTTTTCAGTACCCTGTTTAATTTCCAGATGTGTTCTACCCTTTTTATAATTAATAGTGCGTTATGCTGTCTATCATGCGCCCCAGGTGTGTTGTCAGGGATATGGCGAAGCCTGCTGCCTGCAAAACACCAAGAAATGCTGAAAACCAGCCCCAACAACCTCCACCGTAAGTATAGCATTGGTTTTATTGACTGAAAATGTCGTCTCTTACACAGATCACTGGTTACAGATTTATTAATTCACATTGCATGTGGGAGTAGATATTCTGGATTCTCTGGTATAATAAAAAGGCTACTATTGAATTTTAGATGAAGTTATCTGGAAACATGAGCTCTGGATTAAGTATCTTTAATAACTGACATTTCTAATAATATTGCAGGGATGAAACTAGTTAGAGGAAAGGAAATGTGTTTTAGGGCTATAGAATAGCAGCAATTCTGTTTTTTGTTTTGGTTTGGTTTGGCTTTTTTTGCCAAAGTTTAGATAGGGTGCTGAATGGGGGCCAGAGTGTGTATGTAGGTAAGGAAAATTCATAACTAGCTCATTACCCAACCTTCACACTATATTATTTAAAGGTAATGGGACATTCTAAATGAGTGGATTCTCCATCTAGTTTCATTTTTATTAATGCATTCTTAGCTGTAGGTATGAATGATTGACTATTAATTAATCAACAAAAGGGAAAATTAGAAATAGGAAATAAAATATGCAAGGTCTGAATTTCAAATGTGAATTTTGATGAGATAAATGTAAATAATTTTAAAATTCTTTATACTAGTGTGATCTATTTAATCCTTTGAATAGTGTTGTGCTCCCAGTTTTAAAAAGTTAAAATTTCCTTCAGGTGTCTCTGAAGCAGCAGTAAGGTTAGTGTAATCATTGTAGTCMAGTAGATATTCCTGGGGAGAGCCTTCTTCCAAGCTTTGTGGAAGGGACTTTGAAGAAATGTGTCTTCAGATTAACTTTYTATAGATTCCTTTAGTTTATATCATAATTCTCTAAAGGAAAAAACAAAATGAAGTGATAAAGTAGTAAAAAGGCTATGAAGAAAGTAAAATTGTAACTATTTTGCCATAACATTTTATAAGTGAAAGAGAAAATTAATTTAATTTTATATGGAAGATATTTCTATCCAGATGATTGCATATATCATGCTACTCTGCACAGTTTTACAGCTATTTACATTGTATCTCATCAAGAACCACATTCAGAACTCTATTTATTTGATTTCTTCTCTACTCCCTGCTTTCCTTGGTGTTTAGTCATAGAAATGCTTATGTTTTGTTTATTACAAACAGTACTAATTAATTTTAGAATATTTATGATTTAGATGATTTAGGATATAAAATTGTGTTTTTTATTTTATACTATTCCAATATATTGGTGCATATTATCTTTACAGAATGGTGGATTTCGTTGTGTCATATTCACATATACATAAAACATTATTTGATCAGTTTCACTCCCTATTACCTCTCCTACTCTCTTCCTCAATCCCCCTGATTCCATCCCTCTTCCTGAATCSTTTCCCTTCCTTAATGGTTTCCTTTCTTGGCATTCAGTGTTTTACATGTTATCTTCCCTCTAGCTTCTACATGTGAAAGGAAACATACAATACTTTTATCTCTTGAGTCTGACTTATTTTGCTCAAAATTGTGGTCCCTAATTTCATCTATTTTCCTGTAAATGATATAATTTCATTTTTCATTATGGCTGATTAAAACCCATACACACACACACACACACACATACACACACACACCACATTTTCTTTATCCATTCATCTATTAATGGGCACCTTGGCTGAATCCATAATTTGGCTATTATGAATTATACTGCATGTATCTATAAAGTATGCTGACTTATATTCTTTTGGATAAATACCAAGGAGTGGTATAACTGGATCACGTGATGGTTCTATTTTTAGCTTTTTGAGGCACCTTCATACTGATTTCCATAGTGACTTTACCCATTTACATTTCCACTAACAGTGTACTAGAGTTCCTTTTTCCATACATCCTTAACAAAATTTATTGCTATTTGAAGTCTTGATGATTGCCATTCTAACTGCAGTGAAAAGAAATCTCAGGTAGTTTTTTTWWAAATTCTTTTTAGMTATACATTACAGTAGAGTGTATTTTTGGCATACATAACTTATTCTAGTTAGAATTCCATTACTTGAGGTTATAGATGATGTAGAATTTCACTGGTCATGTATTCATGTATGAACATGGGAAAGTTATGTCTGATTCATTCTACTCTTACCTATTCCCATCCCTCCTCACTTCATTCTCCTTTGTCTAATCCACTGGACTTGTGTTTTCCACCCCTCTCCCTGATTTAGCATCCACATATCAGAGAGAACATTTGACCATTTTTGGCAGGGAGATTGGCTTATTTCACTTAGCATGATAGTCTCCAGATCTGTCCATTTACTGGCAAAATCATAAGTCTTTCTTTTTTATGGCTGTAATCTCAGGTAGTATTGATTTACATTTTCCTGATGGTTGAACATTTTTCATATATTTGTTGGCCATTGGTACTTATATTTTTAAGATATGTCTGTTCAGTTCATTTCTGCATTTACTGATTTTTTGTTTGTTTTGTGTGTTTCTTTTTAGTATTGTGTCTGAGTTTTTGTTGAGTCTTTGTGAGTTCTTTATGTATTCTGGATAGTAGACCTCAGGCAGAGGAACAGCTGGCCAAGATTTTCTCTCATTCTGTATCTTATCCATTCACTCCGTTGATTATTTCTTTTGCTGTTCAGAAACTTTTTAATTTGATGCAATTTCACTTATTGATTCTTGCTTTTTCCTGAGCTCTATGGATTCTATCCTCCTGGAGGTCTTTGTGCCTACATGCTGAAGTATTTTTCTTATTTTTTAAACAGTTGCACAGTTTCTGGTCTTATATTTAGGTTTTTGATCCATTCTGAGTCACTCTAATACTAAGACCAGCTAAGGACACTATGAAGGAAGGGAAACTACAGACCAATTTAGTTGATGACTCTAAATGCAAAAATACTCAATAAAGTGTTAACAAATCAAATTCCAAGAGCACATTATGAAAAGCATACACCATGATCAAATTGGTTTCATCACAGGGATCAAATTGGTTTCATCACAAGAATGGTTCAATATCTGCAAATCAATAAATGTAATACAGCACATAAATAGAACCAAGGACAAAACCACATGATTATCTCAATAGATGCAGAAAAAATCCTTCAACAAAATCCAACACTGCTTCATGATGAAAACCCTAAAGAAACTAAGGACAGACATAACTTATCTAAACATCATAAAGGCTATGTATAACAAAATTAGCATCTTGCTGAATGGGAAAGAACTGAAAGCAATTTCTCTTAACATCAAGAACAAGTCAAAGATGTTCACTCTTACCACTCCAATTTGTTATATTGAAATTTTATGTAATTGAAATTCAATGTCATTGAAATTTTAGCCAGAACAATTAGGCAAGAGAAAGAAACAAAAGGGGTATAAATAGGAAAAGAAGAAGCTAGAGTATTCCTATTTGCAGATGGTATGATCCTATACTTARAAGATCTTAAAACTCCCACTGGAAGACTTCTAGTGTTAATAGAAAAATTCAATAAAGTAGCTAATCAAAAAATTTAGTTGTAGCACAAAATCAACATATAAAACTCAATAGCTTATCTATATATCAATAATGAAAATGCTAAGAAAGAATTCAGGAAAATAATTCTGTTCACAACAGCTTAAAAAAAAACCCTAGGAATAAACCTAATAAAGGAGACAAAAGACTTCTACAATGAAAATCATAGACAATGATCATAGAATGATATAGACAAATCATAAAATGATATAGACAAAAATTAAGGACAAACAAGTCAGTTAGTAGACAATAGTAATAGTCCAGGGAGAGGTGCAGAGATCTCAACTTAGAGAAGTAATAGAGCTATGGGAAAAAGACATTTCTAAAGCCAACTGAAAAGGAAATGGCAGTGCTTGAAGGTCAGTTGAATCCAATTTGTAAGGAAAAAGTTTAGGGAAAATATCACATTAATGGCTTGGATGATGAAGAGATGCAAACCAAGAAGTAAAAGTTGAATTAAGAATGTGAATGAAATTTAGGTCTGTAGGCAGTGGTAAGTTCAGATTTTGTGGTACCTGCCAGATATCCAAGGGTATAGATTCATAAACTGTTGTGTCTATGAACTTGAAGCCCTSAGTCAACTGAAGTAGATGACATTATAAAAAGATATGTAGGAGAAAAATAGCAGAGCAGTCCTTACATAAAACCAATACTTAAGGAACTAGAAAAGGGATCCCCCAGCACAGCTGAGAAATAATGGTCAAAAAAGCAGGAAGATTAGAGACCAAGGTAGTACAAGATTTAGAGGGATGCCCATCAGTGACAAATACAGCTGAAAAGTCAAGAAATAAATGATGGGATAAAAAATGACTTTTAGTTTGGGTCATGTGGACTCATTGGTAGCATTTGTCATAGCAGTTTTAACATATAACTGGGTGGGAAGGCTGCACTTCAGGCATACTTGAGAAGAAAATGATAAGTCAGGAAAAGGTGATGGTGTACGTGTGTGACTTTTCTAAAAAGCTTTCCTAGGTAAAGAGAAAGACAGAATATTTGGTAGATAGAGGAAACAGGGTGACTGAGCTACATTACTTGGTACGTTCTATTATGCAAATCTAGTTTGATGGATATGCATATCAATATACTTTAATATTTTTGATAACCATATATATAAATATTCAATTCTACTTATGTTGTTATTAATATGTCACTTGGTCATAGTTTAAGCATGTTGTATGAGTTGAGATCATTTGATCAAAGAAAGAAACATCAAAATATTAGTGAAGTTTGTCAATTAGTTGAATCTGAGGCTTGCTAAGCCTAAGTGTAAGATCCATCAATAAATGGGATRGAATTCTTGTCTAAAGGGTTTTCTCTCAAGTTAAGTAAGGGGMAAATTGTTATACAACCAAATAAATTGCAATACTGCATAATAAGTATTACATTAGGAGTATGTTTAAAAGAGAAAATGATTTATTCTGTTTGGGGTTCCTTTGATAAAGGGAAGAATTTAGAGTCTACAATTCTGTTACTATGAATTTTGAAGGATGAATAATTGAGTGATTGGGTAAGTTCGTGATATAGCTTTCC